GCCTACCACGTTTATAAGTGCTCGTCTTTCCCTAAAATATAATAAATGATGTAAATCTTCGTAATACCTATCCATTTCGTACAATGAATGCGTCATTAAATTGTTAAAATTGAAGCAAGTCTTGGTTAAACGCGCAGCTTGATTTGAGCAGGTTTTTTCTAAGCTTTCTCGCATAATATTAATATCCCTATACTTTTGCTCATAATTCTTAATATCGATGAAAACTACCAACCTATATGAAGTTTTCGTAAATTTTATATCGTGCAGATTTTCAAAATAGATTCCTGAACTATTAATTTGCGTATTTGTATAGTGGCTATTTTGCCCCAACCCTAATACTACTAAGAGGGTGATAATGGAAATCAAAGATATTACTCGCGCCATTCTAATAGGACAACAAAGGGCAAAGTATTAAAACGAGAAAAAAAAAATTGAATAATCGTAAATGTCAAAAATTGACTTACTAAATTATCCTTGAAGTTTAATTTTTCAAGTAATCCGTATATGTAGTTGCGCGAAAACACCGATATGTAGTACGGTAACGAAAGGAGTCAACGTCTTGAAATAAGGTCTGACTAAAATATTATTTAAAAAAAAATAATAAAATTGTTAACGACACTAAGTAATGTAATTAAAATTTACAATACGGTAAACGAATAAAATCAATAAAATAAAAGTTATTAAAGTTTAGATCCGTAAACACCGGTCGTATAAAATTAAATGTATTTAAGCGCACAAAAGAAAAATAAAATAAAAAGAGAATAAATTGAAGTTAAGTACGATAATTCTCGACGCGAAGTTCTGTTGATAAAAGTAGTGTAGTGAACAGGGCGATGAGAACGACTGATCGTGAGACGCTCCTGTATCTAGCGAGAGCCACGGCTACTGGCTTACCGGTAAACAGAAGTGTTTACCAAGCATTTCATTGTATTTTCCCATCAAACGCGTTGCTACTGCCTGGGAAAATTTCATTGTCCCTATCAAATTTCGCTTTGGTAATTTATTCGTTATGATTGAAAAAAAAAAAAAAACAAATATTGTAGCGTACATATAGCGTGAGAATTATTTTTTATTTGATAAAGATAAGAAATTAACGGCTTTGTGCCGAACAAAATTAGGGAAGTGCTGAAAGTGAAAGTAGAATGATATAAAATTATTAATTTATTAATTTTCCCGAGAGTTGTATGGCTTGATTTGGTCTACATGGACTGGTGCATCCACCAGTTGGCCATGTTTTGGTAACTTAACTAAATAGCTGTAAGGGCCTAATTTTTTCATTACTTCATAGGGGCCTTCGTAGCGATTAGAGAACTTATTGTCACGTACAGGGACTTTTACCAAAATTTTTTCACCTATGTTATATGAAATATTATTATCCAAATTAGTTTTCTTCAAATCAGACTTTAACGCTGCATTTTTTATAATTTCTGGTAATGTTTTCCTAACATGCTTTATCTTATCTATTTCTGATATAATGTTTTCATCGGTGGGTGGTATAAGCGCGATATCGTAAATGCTTTTCGGGTTATACGCGTGCAATAAATAGTGCGGTGTATATTGCGTTATTTCATGCTTGGAAGTGTTATAAGCGAAAACTATATAAGGTAGATAGTCAACCCACTTATTATTTTCTTGTACGTACGGTGCTAACATGTCAATTAGAGTTTGGTTCTGTCTCTCTACTTGTCCTTGCGAAGTCGGTTTGAAAGGTATTCCGAATTTCTTATCAATGTGTAGGGCTTCTAAAAGCTCAACCACTACTTTTGCAGAAAAATGTGTACCGTTGTCACTTCGAACGATTTTCATTGGGCCGTACTTTAAAATGAATTCTAATAGAAATTTAACTGTGGACCTAGCGTTTGCGTGCTGATAAGCTTTGGCTACACAATATTTAGATACGCGATCAGTAGCGACTAAAATGTATTTATTACCCCTTGAACTTTGTAGAGGTCCTACATAATCCAAATAAATTTCTTGCATAACCTCCCCTTTATCCAACGGATAATGCCCTATCTTAGGTGGTTTAGGCTGTTTATGGGGTTTTCGTTTTTGGCACGCGGAACAAGATAAAACATAATTTTTAATGTCTTTGCGCATCTTAGGCCAAAAATATTTTTCTTTTATTTTAGTATAAGTCCTACTAAAACCTAAATGCGCGCTTAGGGGACTATCATGATTCTCCCTAATAATATCATTAATATATTTGCTAGGTAATGCCAATGTTAATTTATTGGAATTTGTATAATTCGACTTATAGTATAAAACGTTGTTATTCTTAAATAAGTAATTCTTAGCTTTACTCAACCATTTTTGATCGCTTAGATCAGGGTACCTAACGGCTGTTATAATATGCTTTAAATATGCATCATTAGCCTGATCAGATTCTATATTTATAGGTTGAACTAAATTAACATCTAAAATGTCGTCAAATTCATTATTGTCTTCTAAACCTAATTTATCGTCGCAAGGATAACGTGAAAGATGATCTGCAGCCCTATTAAAAATGCCTTGTTTATATATAATATTAATGTCATAGCCCATTAATTTTGTTTTTAATCGCTTTACCACATCCGACTCTGTTTTTATCTTAAGTAAACCCGTTAAGTTCTTATGGTCAGTCCAGACCTCGACTTTTCTCCCGTGAACGTACTGGCGAAAAGTTGTAAAAGCAAAGTGTAGCGCTAAAACCTCAATTTCCATGGCGCTATAATTATGTTCTGACGCGCTTAACTTTTTTGAAGCATATGCCACAGGGTGTATTTCATTATTTGAATTCCTTTGGCTTAAGATAGTCCCTAGCCCTAACTTAGAACCATCTGAAATAATAATGGTTTGACAGCTTTCATCGAAATGCGCGAGAACCGGTTTGCTTGTCAATTTATCTTTAAGTTCCTGAAAAGCTAAGTCGTGCTCGTGTTTCCACGCTATAGGCGATTTTTTATTTTTAAAAGTTCCCTTAGTTAGGTCAGTTAATGGCTTAGCTATCTTACTATAGCTAACCACGAATCTACGAAAGAAGTTGGCGAGGCCCAAAAATGATCTTAGCTGCTTAATTGTGCGCGGGGTGGGAAACTTTCTTATCGACTCTAGTCCTTCATCAGTCGGTCTGATACCCCTAGTGTCAATAATATTGCCTAAAATTTTTATTTCTTGATAGCCGAACTTACATTTGGAAGGCTTTAGTTTTAAATTATACTTTAAGAAGCGCTCAAAAGTTAATTCTAACGAAATCAAATGGTCATCAAAGGTTTTCCCGTAGGCGACGGTGTCGTCGATATAGTTCACTACATGCTTATACATTAAACCTGCTAGTATTCTACACGCTGCGCCTTGATAGATTTCTACTGCATTACATATTCCCATTGGTAACACGCGAAAAGCATAATGGCCCGTTGCTGTCGAATATGCGGTAAAAGCTCGCGAGTTTTCGGCCAACGGTATTTGATAATAACCTGCGTTTGCGTCCATACATGAAAAGTATTGGTTTCCGCCTAATGTATCGTAAATATTTTGAATCAGCGGCACTGGAAAACTTTCCTTATAAATAATAGAATTAAGTTGTCTATAGTCTAAAACCATTCGATATTCTCGCGGGATTGACGCATGCTTATTACCTTGGGGCATATTTTTACCTACTAAAAATACAGGATTAGAATATGGACTATTTGATTTTTCAATAATACCGGCTTTTAGTAATTCCTGTGTCTGTCTTTCAACTTCATCTCTTTCGACGCGGCTTAACTTAAAATTAGGGATGTTAATTATCCTATCACTTGATAACTTAAATTCAACGGGTTTAATTCTCACTTCCCCTAAATCATACTTAGATTTAGAAAAAATTGCGCTATATTTGGTTAAAAGGACATGCATTTTTTTATATTGTAAATCGGATAGCGCCGGGTTGATATCAAATTCTATGTTGGGAACACTTTCATCGCGTGGGGCCCGTTCGCGGAATTTATTACTGACCGTTAGCGCCTGCTCTATGACGCGCGCGTCCTGAGTACAATCGTCGTGTCGAATTTCGTCTGGACCGTTATCATTTACAATATTGTTCTCACAAGTGTAGTCATGATTTTTTATTCGTTGTTTTAATATTTGCTTTCTGACGGTTAAATCATCGTAATCATTTATTATAGTTATTGTTTGAAATTCATTAATTTTATTAGCGTCGGGTTTGAACATAAGAGGTGTCCAATGACGGTGTGAGAACAATATCATAACGTAATTGCGATTTGGTTTTGAAAAGGCAATGGTACCTTCTTCATATGCCCTATCGGATTTCGATATAACAATTAAGTTATAGTTAAAAAAATCGGCTACTGCAGCGAGATCTTCTGCTTCTAACCACACGGCAGTTTTTTCAAACTGTATTTCCAATAATTCCATAATATCGTGAGAACTAACTTCTACATACTGCTCATTTAATACGCTAACGAGTGCATTGACTCCACAATAACCGTCGCGAGGGATTTGCGCTAATACACAGGCCGATGTTGCCATTTCTTGTATTCTTTCCCTGTCATCGAAATTTGAATTGTTCATCTCATTTACAACGGTGTTAACTGTATTGTCATTACCGCTAAGAAAATTGATTTGTATTTTTTCATTATTAACATTAAGTTCTATTTTAGAATCAGCGAAATTAATAATTCCCTTAAATTTATTTAAAAAGTCCACCCCTAAAAGACTGTTACAATTCAAATTTTGGACGACCGCGCATTGTATTTTTACAAGTATACCGTTGAAATATACTTCTATGACTGTTCTACCAATCAATTGTAATTTTTCTCCATTAGCAGCATATAATTGTGTCGCGCCATAGGATTTAATTACTTGTTCTTTTGGAAGTATCTTATCACTAACAACACTGACGCTCGCTCCACTGTCCAAAACAAACTTATATAATACATTATTTAGACTGCCTATTATTACTGGGTCTTTCCCTATATAATTTACATCATTAAATATACAACTACTTATGCGCTCTATTTGGGGGGGTTATCTAAAGTTGCTTGATTTACATTAAAGTCAGGTTTTTGAGAATGTTTAGTATCAAAACTCGACCTGGCTTCCGGGTTTTGACCCATTAGTTTTTTGCGTTGCTTTGCTGATCGCCCGAGTTATTATCTCTATCGTCTCTCCTGTCATTGTTCTTAAAACGCGAGTTATAGTTTTTTGAATTGCGCCTATCAAAGTCATCCTCATGACTATCCGAAAAATTTCTGTTTCTACCCCTATCGTCTCCATTATCGCGTCTTGTATCCCTATAATTTTCGTTGTTATTATTACGATTATTGTAATTTCTACCGCCGCTATTACCGCTAGATCTGTTATTATTACCATTATTATTGTTATTGTAATTACGATTCCGGTTATTATTACCGTTATCGTCATCTCTAGGCCTGTTACTGTTATCTGAATTATTGTTATTGTTAAAATTGCGGTTCCTAAAATTATTACCATTATATCTGTTGTTATTGTTGTAGTTCCTATTTCTGGAATTGTTATCGCTAGCCCTATTATAATTGTTATAATTGCGGTCCCTAGTATTGTTACTATTATTATTAGGATTGCCCCTAAAGTTACCAGTATTATTAGAGTTGCCTCTAAAATTACCATTATTTCTAAATGGTCTGTTATTTATGCTTGCTTTGACCCTCTCAAGCTCTTCCTTCAACTGTCTTACCTCATCACTGCTATTGCTTTCTCTGCCGACCCTGAGTTTCTCAATCTCTTTCCTTAAAATTTCAATTTCGCTTTCATTATTATTTATTGCTACCATGTCCGCTTCATATGTCCTAATATTCGCTGTTATCTTGTCGACCGTAGAGTTATCCATGGCATATATTCTCCAATACACTTCCTGAGGGAATCCTTTCATAATTATCTTACTGATATCTTTCTGGCTCATATTTTCATCCACTCGCTTACACTCTCCCAGCACTCTCAAAATATAACTCTGTAATGATTCCTCTGGCCGTTTTTTCCTCCTATTCAGATTCTCTCTCAAAAGCGCGCGTTGTTCCTCGGAATCATAGTAATCCGCGAACACCTTTTTTAAAATTGACCAAGTTAAGCTCCCAGTTTCACTCTCTATCTTCTCAAATAAAATTTTCGCCTCTTCCCTAAGATACAGTGGGAACATGATTAATTTTTGGCTGTCACCCCATACATTTGCGGCCGAGATTCTTTCGAAATCCTTAAAATACTCGTTAACATCTTCGGTCATCCGACCGGAGAAACTTTGCGGTGTAATACTCATTTTTACTTTTGGTGCGCCGCTTATGAATCGTCCTGCCTCAGGACTTTTTTTATTACTTTCGGAAAATTTAGATGCTTCCGCTGATGTAGATGGCTTATCAGTTGCGGGCGTGTCTGTCTTATTATCAGAAGGGATTACAGTATTATCTAAGTCGTCAGACGATGTGGTACTATCAGAAGTGTCAGATATGTAACTATGGGGTTTAGCTTCCAAAACCTTATCTAGATTATCACTATCACTGTCCTCGTCCGAATTATGCGCGTCTACCAAAGGATTTTGCTTAAATGTCTCCCTTAACCTATTTTTTAAGACCCCTATTAGAGAAGATACTGGCGCTTCTTCTCCTAATTGCGCTAATATATTGATAAGATCGTTTTTCGTACAGTACCGATACAAATAACCCTTCTTATCTTGTTTCAGTAAACTAATTTTTTCAGCTAATGACCTATTATGAAATTGTGATAAAGTGTACTTCGCAGTACTAACGGCTTTTAACACAACAAACTTGTCGTATTTATGAATAGGCACACTAACAAATGGAGTTTTAATATTCCTACAAACTTGTAACGCTTCTAGAGTATTAATTTGTTTTGCCTGTTTAAAATGCTCAACTAAATCTGATGCCGATATGTCTTGGACATCAACGTTGCGATCAAAACCTAATATTCCCCACGATCGCGAATTTATACGAATCGTTTGATTATTTTCAACCCTTTTAATGTAATAATTATACAGCGTCATATGTTACATATTAATAAAAATAATAAAAATGTATAGTAAAAATAAAATCTTGAATTGTATTTCAGTATGTTACTGAATGTCCTATATGACTAATAATTTTATTATAAAATATTTTCTGTATTATGTATACAATGCTATGAATTTAATAATTAATTTGCTGTATAATATGTCGCCTTATAATTTTTTTTTATTTTTTATTTCTCCAAAGCAACTTGTACCCTAAATTACAAACCTCCACACAACCTGAGAGTAGTACGTATATATTTAGTGTAGTTGTTTGGGGATCGTGTCCGTAGTCTCAAAAAATGGGCTCTCCCCTAGAGTAGAAATAAAACTAACGGAAAACGGCGCCTCCACCAAATTGTAACGTCGCTACTTGACTAGCTTACCAAACTAGTCTGAGTGCTCGTCGATAAGGTTAAAGTAGACGGCCCCTGACGGGAAACGGTTGGCTAGTCCGCTTTACGCCTAAGTAACCCTAAAGTCTCCTTTATAAATTTACTATATCGCCCGAGGAGCTTAACGGGCGATCACACTAAAATAACGGTAGTCGACACTCAGGTTATGCAGGCTACAAAGTATTTATTAATAACTAAAAGCAGTGGCAAATCAATATACAAAATATGCAATATATATATATATATATACAGTCTGACCTGAATACTGGCTGGTGATGATTGGGATCAGACCGGAGTCGAGCGGTGCGCACACAGAGATGACCGGTGATAACCGTAGGCGAATTAAGGTACACAAATAATAATCAAGAAGGCTGTATGGATGCGTAGGCGCGTGATGGTAAATCTCGACTGGTTAATTAGATGATACGCGAATGTCATCTCAGTGTGTCAGCGCTCCCTACCTAATTAGGTCATTAGTGATGTGTCCATAGGTTCGGGGCGCGAAGTAACGGTCGGGCGAAATGTGACCGTTACAATTCAAATGATTCAGCCCGCTCTTTATACGGTAATTGTTGGTTACACCGTATTATAATTATATATTTTTTTATTGTACTGTAAATAGTTAGCTTTTTCTATAATCTATATTACATATCTCTATTTTTAAGAAACTACCCATAAACATGTTAAATGCCATTGTGTTGTTCATTGAAACAAAATGGCAAAGTAAACTGACAGAATACCATGAGGACTTGAAAGTATTTATAATAGAGAACGAGGAAGAACTGGCTAGGGACAGTGACCGTTAGAGGCAAATGGTTGTCGTGGCAAAGGGCTTGTAAAACGCTAAGAAGAAGATGATTATAAACTAACTGTTCACCCAAACCTTATAGGGTTAATTAGATGTGAAGATAATCTACCAATGAGCCTAAATAGCCTTTCCCCCCTTTTATGTATTACAGTATCGGAGAAAGAAAAGCCGTAGAAGCTAAAAAATGTCAAGAAATGGATAAATAAATTGAATCAATTCGCACACAGACACGTCTGCGTTGTAGAAGCCGAGACTAAGTAGACTAAGAACTTATAATATATATTTTTTGAGTTGATCATGCGAAGATTAAATATATTACAGGAGCTTTTTTTAAAACAGTATTTGTATTGTATCTTGAGACTAAGTTGTTAAAATGTCGCCACTTTTTATACAACTCCTTGTACAACTTTGGTGATAAAAATTTTCAAAATAGTGTAACAAAGATTCTTGGAAAAAAATATTAATATATTCCGAGAAAATGAGTGTGTTATCCTTAATGAATCACCCTGTATATATATCTATACCATTGTCAATGGAAACACATACGTCATATAGTAAAATCTATTTACCAAGGTTTAGGAAATAAAAAAACCAAAGACGACTAGTGTTACATACTAATTATGTGCATTTAGCTATTATATTTATACGCATCATTCTAATATTTATAAAGCATTAGTATTGCCTTTTTAAAATAAAACTTTTATTTTTTAAATTAAAATAATTCCTCAAACTATCGTGTTTAAGGAATTGTTTTCAGCAAACATCAGCAATCATACATTATGATAGACAGAAGAAAATGTTTAGTTTTAAATAATTTTTCTTTTTTGGTTGTATTATGCGGTTTTAATAATTAACATAATAAAAGATATTTATAT